TTAGCAACTTCATATTTGAAAGAAATTTAGATTTGTTTTAGTCAAGTCTAGTATCATGTAGGTCAACAATGTAATGTAGCTGGTAAAAGAAAAAAAGCTTTTGTGATCTTCAACTTCCTCAATAAACTATGGTATGTAGACCAGCAGAGGTCAGGGTTCTGTCCCACTCTTCATCGGTGTGCTACTTTATCTGGACAGTTGCCTCTGAGCTTAATCATTTAGAAGAAAAATGCCAGAAAATGAGTCATTCCCCAGTATGTCTTTTCCTGCCTTCCTTGTTTCCCTGCCATTTGTTCCTCCACATCCATTGTCTTAACCTCCCCAAACCTGAATATGTTCTGGTGTTTGAACACACTCCACAGTTCAGTGGAACATGTCACTGATCACACCCTCCCTATGTCTCTCCCGCAGTGGAGTCTTGCATGGTGGTGGCTGAATTTGGTGTTGAATTGTAATCCCCCATGCCGAAGTAGTATTGCTTTGGCTGACCATTGAGATAGCACTCTTGCATTCGCAGTGGCCTTATTGCCATGCAGTTGGCTTTCCATTAGTGGCTCCATCCTTCCTTCATACTTGCACCTTGAACTTTCTAGTTTCTGCCTATTCTGTTCCTGTTTCCAAGTACTGAGCAAACACTAAATGGATCACACTACCAGAAATACAGTCACCACTCAATATTTGCATACTAATTAAGTGAATTAATTTTTTAAAATCATAGATTTGAGGATATTGCAATAATAAAGATTCTCTTACTCAAAATCCTTGAAAACAAAAAAAGGAAATAGGATTACCAGGCATTCCTGCTACGACAGCAATGTTTTTGACATGCAAATGTTATCCACATAATTACAATTCTTTATGTTGTAATGGAAAGAAACCAATAAACCAAAGGTAGGCCAGCCTACGCCACATTCCCTTCCATAATGAAAGGTTTCCTCCATCCCATAGAATTTGTCTCTGGGAAGCACTGTTAAATTTGAACTAGGAATAAGGAAGCACTGCCAGCCAGCAGGGGCTCAGTCCAGGCCATCTGTCAGGTGCACATCTCATCCCTCAGGGCCCCAGTGTCCCAGAAATTAAACTATTTCAGTTCCTCTGAGAGGCTTTAGTCAGTCATTAAGTTAGCCAGTAAACATATGAACTTCCAGAGTTGCCTTGTTTGGGTGTCCTTACACATGTTGTCATCAGTGTTGAGAACCTGCCAACAAGCCTCATGGAAACTGTCTGTGGGACAGATGTAGAAGAAACAGTGCTGAATTTGGCATTTGACTGATTTAGGTAGGTAGGTAGAGAAGTCACACTGTATTTGAGTAAATAGCTGACTTCAGAGCTTCTAAAATGCCATGCAGTAGAAAAAAGAAATTAATATCAAAAGCATAAAGTTTCTTTTTGAGCCAACACTCATGTTCATCATTACTGACTACACAGGGAAATAATTGTGCAGGTGTAAAGGGACCTGAAGAAGCATTTGGTTCATGCAGAATTATACTCAGGTTGCTTCAGTCAGAACAGGATAGTTTACAGTGGAGCTCAGCCATTTGCTTCAGTGCAACAACTCCAGTAATCCAGCTAGAATAACACGTGGAAACATTTCCTTGAGGTTGTCTGGAAATTACTGATGTTAAAATGTCTACACCTCTTGGAATTTGTTTTGATAAGAGCTTTATTTAGATACAATTTGCATACCATACAATTGATCATTTAAAGTATGAGATTTAGTGGCTTTTAGTATATTTAGAATTGGGCACCATCAATTTTAAAATAGCTATCATCCCCCCACCCCAGTTTCCCCCATCCCTAAACAATCACTATTCTAATCTATTCTCTTTCTCTGTGTGCCCCATTTGGGGCACTTTTTTTTTTAATATATATATTTATTGGTACATTTTAGGTACAGAATACATTTACATTCATCATTGGGTGTTTGTACCAGAACATGATGCAACTTAGTTTTTATTTTTACTCCCATTACTTGTGCACCCTTCACCCCCTCCACCCTTCCCTATCTACACAGAGTTTGATTCCATTTTTTTTCTCATAATTTTTTTCTTTCCCTTCTTCCCTTTCCCCTTTCCCTTCCACCATCACCAAACCCTTGGACCTTTTCTTATTTCAAATTATCAACTATTCATTTTAATCATTTTCATCCTTATTTACACTTTCAATTTATCACACTAGAGAAAACATTCTGTATTTACACATGTGTGCCCTATTTATTTCACTTAAGAGTATGGCCTCAATATGCATCCATTTAGCTATAAATGTCTCTAGTTTCTCATTCTTT